CCTTACTACCAAGAGAGTAAGCTATTTTGTCGCTCACACAATTCTCTCTCTCTCACGAGCTCAATCTCTCAACTATCTCTGTATTTTGATGTCACACGATGTGTGTTTTCCCTCTCACAGACTTCAGAATAGAGTTCCTGGCACTAACAAAATCTTCGGTACCCTTATTTGTTATGCATTTAGATTCACATCTGAAGTCCCCCTGAAAACTGTTTTCCGTTAGTTGCTAACAGGGCACAGTACGTTGGTTCAATAAACCTAGAAACCCCTTTCAAAGATTTCTAAATAGCGTACCTGACACTAGCATACGCGCAGAATCTCGAGGCAGCGTAGCAAGAGGACTGCTGGAGTACAGTAAAAATCACTGACGCAGCCGAGAGCACCATCGGGTACGTGGAAAGAAGTCGACGGAATGAATGGTTCGACGAGGAGTGCAGAGCAATTTTGGAGGAGAATAACGCAGCGCGGGCGGTAATGCTGCAGCATGGAACCCGACAGCAGCACACCCGCATCTTTTGGGAGAAAAAACGCCGCCTGGAAGAAGCGGAGTGCGAGGAAATGCTGTGCCGTTCCCAAGAAGTGTTGAAGTGCTGTGCCGTTCCCAAGAAACATGGAAGTACTACCAGAAGCTCAACGCATCCCGCAACGGCTTCGTGCCGCGATCCACAATGTGCAAGGATAAGGAGCCTCTTGACGGGCGGACGTGAGGTGATTGAAAGATGGAAGCAGCACATCGATGCGCACCTGAATGGCGAGGAGAACGTAGGCACGGGAGACCAGCACAATGGAGGAAACGACTACGTCAGTGCAGCAGAGGACGGAACTGACCCAACTCCCACGCTGAGGGAAGTTAAGGATGCCATTCAGCAGCTCAAAAACAACAAAGCAGCTGGTAAGGAACGTATCGCAGCCGAACTCATCAAGATGGGCCCAGAAAAGTTGGCCACCTGTCTGCTCCGAATGATAGTCAGGATCTGGGAAACAGAACAGCTACCGGAGGAGTGGAAGGAGGGGGTAATCTGCCCCATTCACAAGAAAGGCGACCATTTGGAATGTGAGAACTTCAGAGCTACAAAGTGCTATCCCAGATCATCTTCCGTCGTCTATCACCTAAAATGACCGAGTTCGGGGGAAGTTATCAAGCCGGCTTCATCGACGGCCGATCGACAACGGACCAGATCTTCACCGTACGGCAAATCGTCCAGAAATGCCGTGAATACCAGGTCCCAACGCATCATTTGTTCATCGATTGTAAGGCGGCATACGACAGTATCGACCGCACAGAGCTATGGAAAATCATGATCAGACTGACCAAAGCAACGATGGACGGTGTGCACAACTGCGTAAGGGTTTCGGGTGAACTATCTAGTTCATTCGAATCTCGCCGGGGATTGCGACAAGGTGACGGACTCTCATGCCTACTCTTGAACATCGCTCTAGAAGGTGTAATGCGACGAGCCGGGCTCAACAGCCGGGGTACGATTTTCACGAAATCGGGTCAATTTGTGTGCTTTGCGGACGACATGGACATTATCGCAAGAACATTTGGAACAGTGGCAGAACTATACACCCACCTGAAACACGAAGTAGCAAAAGGTTGGACTGGTGGTGAGTGCGTCAAAAACAAAGTACATGCTAGTAGGCGGAACCGAACATGACAGGATTCGTCTAGGAAGTAATGTCACGATAGACGGGAATACTTTCGAGGTAGTGGAGGAATTCGTTTACCTTGGATCTTTACTGACGTCTGACAACAATGTGAGTCGTGAAATACGAAGGCGCATCATCAGTGGAAGTCGTGCCTACTACGGGCTCCAGAAGAAACTACGGTCAAAAAAGATTCACCCCCGCACCAAATGTACCATGTACAGAACGCTAATAAGACCGGTGGTCCTCTATGGACACGAGACATGGACTATGCTCGAGGAGGACCTGCAAGCACTCGGAGTTTTCGAGCGACGTGTGCTAAGGACGATCTTCGGCGGTAGGAGGGTGAGTGGCGGCGAAGAATGAACCACGAGCTCGCTGCACTATACGGCGAACCCAGCATCCAGAAGGTGGTCAAAGTCGGAAGGATACGGTGGGTAGGACATGTTGCAAGAATGCCGGACAACAACCCTGCAAAGTTTGTGATCCGGTTGGCACAAGAAGGCGTGGAGCGCAGAGAGCACGATGGGCGGACCAGGTAGAGCGTGATCTAGCGAACATTAGGCATGACCGAGGATACAGAGCGGCAGCCGCAAACCGAGTATTGTGGCGTACTATTGTTGATTATGTCTTATCTTAAATGCATTCTCAATAAAAAAAAGTTCCTAAGCCCCACCCCTAACAGGATCGAACGCCTTTTATCTCTGATTGGGGCGGGGCTTAACAAGCTTTTTTTTAGAATGCTAAAAAGGAGGGACTACATAGAGGTACCAGACATGTTTTGCAGTGTCAGGTACTCTATTTTGAAGTCTGTGAAAGGGATTTCTAGATTGGTTGCCTGCACTGTGCCTTGTTAGCAACTAACGGAAAACAGTTTTTTTTTTTAATTTCCGATATATGTCGCCATAAACAACAGTAGTGACATCTGATGGCCAGTAAGCGCTGCAACCATTTTCATCAATTAGGTAAAATAGACAAAATATCGAGCCGAATGCCGAGCCAACCTGGAATAATTCCGGAACCATGTATTGAGCCACAAGTTTCATTAATAATTCAAAAACCTGACAAAGTTTCCGACCAAATGCAACTTGTTTTGAAGAGAATTATTAACAAATAATTTTGGCTACGCAAAGATTCATTCCGTTACAATATATTACAGCGAACTAAGAGGCCTTTCAACTGACTACCCGCGCAAAGTCGGTTAACAAAATGAAAGCAAATCGATATTAAAGTTTGCGAAATAAGTCTGATTGTATATTGTGCCTTCAGTTTTTTTTTAATGAAAGCAGCTTAACTTCAAGTTCTGCTGTTAACGTTTTGTTGAAAATTGAACTAACGATTATTGTTTAATTTACGCCAGGCCCGTATTCAGTTAAATATTATGAATGCAACATCAGTAATCAAATTGATTTCAACAGTGTAAACATTTGCTCTCATGTCTGCTGTATTGCCGTTAAGTCAACCAAAATTAGATCAACTTCAGGATTCAAAATATAACAGCACATTTCGATTTCAATTTGATCTCTAGCTTTGCTCGGATAAGCTATCATCGCGAGACTCCAAATTCGATTATCTATGGAAATAGATGGAAAGGAGGTCGTTGTCGTCTGTCACGTCGTTGGGATTTGTATACACAAAAAAAAAAGAAATATATCATCTATAAAATCCGGTATTCTGTATCTTCAGGAATGGTAAAATAGCCATTTGGGTTTATGTTTTTTTGGGAATTTTCCAATTAAAGCTATATTTAGATTTTTCGCGAGTTTCATGGTAGGAAATGTCCCAAAAGCGAACTACCATTTTAGAATGATGCATATAATTTGCATAAGCAATCGAACAAATTTCTATATGAATAACCAAGATCCATCTGAATTACAGGTTACTCGTATAGCAAAAACCAACCACTCGGCCATTTTGGCAGATTATATCTTGTAGAATATATTCCAGTATAACACCACTCAACACTAAATAGTCGAGGTTTTTTTCCATTGAAATTGGCTTTCACGAGTTTTTTCGCCTTCCTCCTCCCACAAACGGTGCAATACGAGTAACCTTTAAATTGGAATGATCTTGTGAATAACATTCAAATCAATGGAATAATTTATTCCCATTGGAAAACCCGACACTGGAGCCAGGTAAAAGAGACAAATCCGGACAAACTAGTTTCTTCTCGAATATATGCGCTCTTAAGTGCACCCCGCACGACCACGACAGAGGTTTTGTCAATATTTCCGTCAATATTTTCACGCCAATCTTTTGCTGACTCCTAACTTAATTTGTAATATTCCGACCGACGAGACAAACAACAACTTGCCTGACAAAATATGCCGAGGGATTAGGCCCCATCTACATATTGCTATACTGCCTATAATCGCATATCCGTCCCATATGGAAAAAAGTAGGTATTAAGAAAATGGCCGTCGAAGCATATTTCAAGTCGAACCTACCAATACCTCAACATGTGCATCAATATTTTCGTCATTAATATTGGCATCAATATAAATTGACAATACTTTTGCTCGTGTGGTGCCCGCTTTAGACTGGCTGTGTAGAAAGCAACTAGCTTGCTGCCATCCAACTTCTGTAACAATACCGATAGCTGGTGCTAGCCGGCATTCGTTGCAAAAATATCAACGACGCTTTCCCAAACTACGTCTTCGCTCGGAACCTTAGCTTAAAAATGGTATTTTCTGAGTCAGCCCAAAAGTCGCCTTTGTCTAGAGTGTAAACAGTGGCCCGTGGCCGCAAACGCGTCCGAGTACAATTTAATAATAACCAAAGCAAAAATGTAGGCAGAAATGGGTCACATTGTGCCACTTAAGGCCAACCAACGCAAACGCGAAATCTGATGCGTCGACAGTCGTCCAACGGTCAGTCAGCACAGCCAAGCTCGAGTTTCTCGTTATTCTTCTTCAAGTGGTTTAACATATTCTTTCCGTTCCGTCTTCTGTTTTCGCGCGCGCTATGCTCTCTTCAAGTACACTTTCGCGACACGGCTGATTGCACAATCGAGTATCAGTTTCACTTTCCACCGCCGCCCCACTGTTGCAAAGGTGGCAACCGAAGGGGCTTGACACTCCCGTTAGCCCACGCGAAGCACCACGAAATCCAATCTCGCTGTCTGTAAATTAGCATTCAGGGGTTTATTTTTTTGCAAATCATTCGCTTCACCCCTTTGCTGGAGCTCACTTCCATCGGTTGTAGTAAAAATCCCCACAAACCAGTTTACTCTGGTGGAAGCCGTTAATCTCGAAAGATTGAACTGATGATGTCTGGTATGGATGGCGAACGCTGCTGCCTGTCACGGTCAATGGTAGACCTTTTTTTAAAAAAAAAAATAAAAACCTTCATACACTTTGCGTCACTCAGATGAAGGTACGTTTTCGTCACTGCAGCTTCCGAAACTGCTGTTAATGCAACTGCTGGATCCGGTGTTGCGGTGTTTTCTCTATACAGCGCGCACCGTGACCACGCAGATTCAACCTTGTACCGGCAAGGCGACCTGCGATGTTTTGTTTTATTACTCGACGAGCACTCGATCCGTTCTAGACGGGCAGACACACTGACTGTCGCGAAGAGACACCACCACCGACGATCCGCAGCGGGGCGCGATCGATTCAAGACTGACTGACTTTCTGAGACTCTCCGAGCGATGAGACGCAACGCGACGCAAGACGAGTTGGCGGACGTTGCACGGTAAGAGAGCATGCATAAATGACGTAGCATTTACGGGGTGAGGAGGGGGGAGGGCTGATATGTTGTGACCGGCCATGAATTTGGTATATCTAAATACGCTACGAGGGGAGGAGGGGAGTCTAAAATTGATAAAAAATATACTTCGTCTTTTATGGATGGTGCATAAAGGCACAGATGATCATCAGCGATGGCAGATCTACGGATTTAATGGTTTTCCTGATGAATTCACTGCAGTAACCTTTTATTCCGAAGCAGGCAAAAGCTGTAATTCAATTAATTCCATTAATTACAGCTTGAATTACACCTAGCTACTTTGTAAGTCCTTTAATTACAGTCGTAATTTCGTAATTAAATTCCATTAACCACATTTGCAGTACTATAAGTTAAATTTTGAGTACTTTTAATAACGTTTAGTACGGCAAATTTCATTACAAATTTAAAATGAATTAATTACATTTCAACAGATTTTCGAAACTCGGATGGCGCGTTGCCAAAGTCCCACTCATCACTTCCAAAAGTTATGACATCTGAAGGGACTGAGCTCAAAGAAATCTGGCATCACTGCTGATCATCGATGAATGGCGAAAATCGGGTACAAGAAATTCGTTGCCTTGCGCTTGCCGGCAAACGGTACGAGGTGGAATACATAAAATTGAGTTTGAGAGTGGAGCTGCCGGGACTGGAGTGTAATAAAAGTGCGAAACGGTGATTTGAAGGAATCGTTTGCAGCAGAAGTGAATGAATCGCCGCGATCTTTACAATCAACTGGGAATATTTCGAGTTCTACTATTCTTTTTCTTTGGTTATTGAGTCCCAACTGCGGCCAACTACCGGTAACTGCAGAGGCTTAATAGGTTAACTTTCGAGACTTGTATTGACAATCAATTCCAAAGGTCTTACGGCCTAGAACCAGATGGCTTCCCAAGCAAAGTGAAATAACAACCTGATATCATCTGGATAACAAGTCTTGTTATTCCAGATATTATTTTGTTTTCAGTTGTTATCGGATTCAGGGTGGCCACTGAATATAAGATTTTTAATTCTCGGCTGTCCATGATAGTTTTCAACTAGATTTGACGAAAAATTATTAAACTAAATTTTTTAAATCTTGAGCATGAGCATGAGCATGATTGACCGCCCACGGTTGCTACTCTGTTATTGCCAGACCAGCTGTAATTACACAGAGAACCAATAGACGATGCTTGGGACTAGCAATCATCCTCAATGTGTAAAAACTGGTGATCTCGAATTAGGCAATACCAGCGCCAGCCGCGCCTGAACGCACGTCAGGAAAGGAATGGGTAGGAATGTGTTGACGTGACACTCGCTTTGATGGAAGCCGAGGAGTCCTCTGCACTTCCACGAGGAATCACAGGGATGTTGGGTAAGAGGGTTGGGTTTGCAGCAGGGTTCGTTTTGGTAAACGATAAGCTGAATTGATATCCTAACAATCATATAACGCGAAGGAGCTTGGCATTGAACCCACGGTCTTCTGCTCAGTAAGCAAAAACGTTTGCCACTAGGCATCGAGTTGCTGTTATTACCATGTAGTCATGTTAACAAATAAAACGATTGACGAATATTGATGTGGATGGGCTTGAGATTAGACTCAGGATGATCTGCTCAGTAAGCAAAAACGGTTGCTCTAAGGCCACCGAGCTCCTCATGTCACATCATACCGTTACTCAAGTTGTTATAACTATTCAAGGTGGAGGAGTGGCCATCGCTGCAAGACGGAACATCAGTTGCCGGCTGCTATCAAACTTTCGATTTCCCGGGCCAGGGAACAACACATGTCAGTATCCAGACAGGTGAGTAACACTCTGAACCTTGACAGCTCTACCAAAGATCTCATTAGACTCCGTAACACCATTCGTAGGCAGTACCAGCGTACTGGCCTGCCTAACTTGAAGACCAATTGTAATCGATCAACAAAGATCATTCAGGCCAGGATGGTGGATCTCACAAAAAATGATTTTGCTAGTAAGATCCGCTCTCTCCCAGATTGTGCTAAGCCCTTCTGGAAACTTACAAAAATTCTTAATAACAAGCCTAGGCCCATTTCACCACTGACCCCACTGGATCGTCCCGGCGACCCAGTGGTTCATCTGATAGTTCCTGAAGAGAAGGCTGCCGCGATAGGTCAACACTTCGTCAGCACCCATAATCTCGGACAAAACATCGTCAGCCCTCATGAATCTGAGGTTGCTGAAAATGCAACCAATCTTCTTCAGATTCTTAACATTTTTCCAGAAGAATCCAAGAATACGGCTGACGAACTGTTGGCCTATATCAAATCATCTAAAAACATGAAGGCCCCAGGTTTCGACAACATCCTGAATCTGGAACTCAAACACTTGAGTTCCAGATTCTACAACCATCTGGCACTGATTTTTAATCCGTGCCTCAGACTTGGCTACTTCCCCTCGTGTTGGAAGTCAACTAAAGTCATACCCATCCGGAAACCTGGGAAGGATCCGTCCTCTCCTTCAAGTTATCGACCAATCAGCCTTCTCTCAGGGTTATCAAAACTGTTCGAAAGAGCAGTGTACCACCGGCTCCTAACATCTGCCGATGAAAACAACTTGTTACTCGAGGAACAGTTTGGTTTTCGGAAAGGTCGTTCGACCGTCCACCAGCTGACAAAGTAAAACAAATATCAAGATTTTATAAACCACATTTTTAAAATTTGTATGCTAAGGATTTCTTTTTCAAGATCTCGGATGTCATGAACTGAGATTTTTTTTTTTAAGATTCTCAATTCTCATGACTTCTTTTGCAGATCTTGGATTTAGAAACAATTGCCAACAAACCCAGATCTCAAACTTTACAAAACTTTCAGAATCCTGGGGCTTAGTAAAATATTGAAAACCCCAGAATATAAAAAAAAAACTAATAGAAAAAGTGTGAGGATTTATCCAAGACACGACCGTAGATTTGACGTAGGATTACGTGCTCGGTATCAATATTCGGCGACTGTGTTAGGGAAACCACTTTTTCCTATCACGGAAACACCTCATTTCTGATGACAAAATTGCTCATTTTTGTTCACAAAACGCACAGAGTTTTTGGTTTATTCAATAGATAATAAAAAAGCGTCAATTGATTGGAGGAATTTCTAAAATTTTCCATTCGCGAGATATTTGCGATCAATTATATAACTTCGAGATTTTTTTGCTGGAGAACACTTTACCTTGATTCTGGTTAATTGACAAGGTCATGTGGTATTCGGCCAGTGTAAGAATTTGTAGGTGTATTGTTGTTTGGAACGAGGGTGACGAGCTTGGCATAGATGGCCCACAGCGGCTCACGACGAGCAACTGAATCCGATCAGTAGCGGTGCGGCTTCTTCCTCCTTCTTCGGTGAATCGAGGGCTCTTGATAGCAAGCAGCTTGCGGGATGCTTTTCGTTGTGTATTGGAGAACAATGTTTAACACCACGCGCCGAAATCACTGCTGCTACTGCTGATTACGACCGGGCACCCGCACTAACGGTGATTGAATAAGCACCGTTCGGCGAGACCGGATGGAATTCGATTTTGAGATCTGTGTTAGTGAAAGTGCCTTTTGCAGGCAATCGGTGATAATTTTGATCACCATTGCAACAGTTGGACATTTGTGTATTTTTCAATAGTGACCTATTTAAAATTGATAAAGTGTTCATTTTAGCAGATTCGTAGAGAAATTTCCAATCGATTGGATTGTTTAGAATTAAAATCCATCCGCTATTGACAGAGTTTCAAGTGGTCAAAACCTGACCACTTTTCGTAACGCGTTTCAGATTGACGGTGTCGAAATCGAAGTGGTCGACGAGTTCGTGTATTTGGGCTCACTGGTGACCGCTGAAAATGATACCAACAGAGACATTCAAAAACGCAGTATGGCAGGGAATCGTGCCTACTTTGGACTCCAGAGGACGCTCGGGTCGAATATAATTCGCCACCACACGAAGTTTACTATCTACAAGACGCTGATTAGACCGATGGTCCTCTACGGCCACGAGACCTGGATTATTGGTGTTTTCGAACGGAAGGTGCTGCGTACCATCTACGGTGGAGTGCAGATGGATGACGGAACATGGAGGAGGCAAATGAACCACGAATTGCACCAGCTACTGGGAGAACCATTCATCGTCCACATTGCAAAAAATTGGGCGACTACGGTGGGCTGGGCACGTCGTAAGAATGCCACACAACGACCCAGTGAAAATGGTTGTCGAAAGCGACCCAACAGGAACAAGAAGAAGAGGCGCGCATCGCGCAAGGTGGATCGACCAAGTAGAAGGCGACTTGCCGACCCTTCGCAGACTACGAGGCTGGCGAAGTGTGGCCATGGATCGAGTAGAGTGGAGACGACTTCTTTGGACAGCAGAGGACAACAAGGCCTTAGCCTGATTGGCAAGGGAAGTATGATTTTCACTGAAGTTCTCAAGATTTTTTCGAAGTTCATGGAACTGCCTTTAACTTATCGACACTTATTCATAACTTCTTCAATAGTCTAGACATTCCTGACGTTATTATGAAGTTTCCGCAATTTTCCTTAAGTTTTATAAACTTTATAAACGCTCACGGAACTTTGCCTTAAATCACTAATTTTCCCTGAACTTATCTGGACATCCCTGAAGTTTTCTATGAATCCTAGAATTCTCAGAATAATATTGTAAGTCGATGCAAATTTCCTTAAGTTAAGTTATATGATAGTCCTCGAAGTACTCGGTACTTCACTGAATATAATGAAACTATCTAAAAATAACGATTTTTTTAGAAGTCCTCTGGAATTTCTTGAAAATATCTGTGCTTGTTAAATGTTCTGGTTTTTTTCTAATTAATGGAAATTCGTTGATGTTCTCCAATCAACTTAGCTAAATTTTCGCCTTTTTTAAAGT